TAAGATTCCCCACACTGCTGGGGGGGGGGTGCTTGGTGTATATATCACACCCCAGAAGGCTCCCTGCCATGAGAGAGCCTTAGACTCACATCTGGGAGCTGACTTTGGGGCATCTGGTCCAACTTGCTGTTCTTATAACAGGGAAACTGAGTCCCACCTGACAGTCCCATTCTTTCCTCTACACCAAGCTTCCACTGGTGAGCCCTGTGGGAAAATGAGGAATGGGTACTGGACTGAGGCCCCAGCCAGAGGCTTTGGCCCTCCTGGTCCCGGAAAACAGGCCAAAGCTTCCTGGGCAGAGAGTGGATCTTGCTCCCAAACTTGTTATTGACCCAGAGCAAGTTGCCTGCTCAGTTTGGAGTCTAAGTTTGTGGTCCAGTGATTTCCCAGCCTCTTGTCCTTTGGCTTGTTGTGATATTGCCTGCAAGTCTAACTTTCAGTTTCTCTAAATTACTAAGGGGAAAACAAAACTTGAAAGTGTTACCAAGGTTATCCACCCCTGAGTAATCTCAGAAAAGCAAGTGAAGTCATCAGTTACTAAACTGATGAAGTTGGGGAAGTCCAACTCTTTTTTTTTTTTTTTTGAGTTGGAGTCTCACTCTGTCACCCAGACTGGATGGTGGCACGCTCCCGGCCACCGCAGCCTTGACCTGCTGGGCTCCAGCCATCCTTCTACCTCAGCCTTCCAAGTAGCTGGAACTACAGGCACATGCTACCATGCCTGGCTAATTTTTGATTTATTGCAGAGATGAGGTCTCGCCAAGTTGCCCGGGTGGGTCTCAAACCTGCGGGCTCAGGCAAACCACTCACCTCAGCCTTCCAAAGCGCTGGGATTACAGGCTGAGCCACTGAGCCTGGCTCACATGTTCTTTTCAACTGCACATGCCCAGTGTGTGCTGGGCTCCAAGTGCCAAAGGTAAAACCACAACAGCTATTGTGCACTGAGTAGTAACTGTGCATTAGACGCCTTCGCAAGCATTGGTCATTCCTGAGCTTGTTCACGGTCCACAAACAGCCCTGCCAGGTGGCTCTCAAGAGCTGTAAACTCAGAGTTAAGAAGGTCGATTTGAACCCTGGCTGTGTTACTTACCAGCTCAGTGTCTTTGGGCAGTTCCTTAACCTCTCTGTGCCCAGCTTCCCCATCTGTAAAAAAGCGAGGATAACAAAAGCTACTTCATAGGGTTATTGTGAGGACTGAGAAGTTGCCTAGAGAAAGTGCCTAAATAAGTGATTTAAAAATGTGAGTTGGACCAGGCGCAGTGGGAGGCCGAGGTGAGAGGATTGCCTTAGCTCAGGGGTCTGAGACAGGCTGGGCAACTTAGTGAGACTTCGTCCCTACAATAAATAAATAATAATAATAAGCTGGGCATGGTGGTGCACACCTGTGGTTCCAGCTACTTGGAAGGCTGAGGCAGAAGGATCACCTGAGCTCAGCAGGTGGAGGCTGCGGTGTCAGTGAGCGTGCCACTGCACTCCAGCCTGGGCAACAGAGTGAGACTACAACTCAAAAAAAATGTGAGTGATTATAATTATTGACTGTATTATCTCCATATTACAGATGAGGAAACTGAGGCTCACCTAGAACTGCATGTATTTGCTAGGGCTGTTGTAACTGGGTGGCTTAAAACAACAGAAATATAGTTACACATTTTCAGAGTATGAGATACAGGTGTTGATAGGGTTAGTTCCTTCCCAGGGCTGTGAGGGAGGATCAGCTTCTCTCTCTCCCAGTTTCTGTGGGTTGTTGGCAATCTTTGGGGTTCCTTGGTTTGTAGATACCTCACCCCATCTCTGCCTTCACATGCACGTGGTGTTCTCCCTGCATGTGTCTCTGTCCAAACTTCCTCTTTCTAAAAGGACATCAGTTATATTAAGAGCCCACCCTGCTCCAGTATGACCTCATCCTAACTTAACTAATTGTATCTGCAACGACCCTGTTTCCAAATAAGTCACATTCTGAGGGACTAGGGGTTAGGATTTTAACAGATGAGTTTGGGGGCGGGGCACAATTCGATCCATGACGCTAAGTAATCTGTGCAGTTCAGACAACTGGACTACAGAGGAGCAGGTTTCACCTTTGGATGTTCAACCTGTATTAAGAGTACCCTGGGGGAACCCTGGGGAGAGGCACAGTACCTCATGGTGGTTCTGGAAAGACTCCACAAGGCTGATGATGTTTGAAAGGTATAGGAGAGAGTCTGTGTAGGCTGTTAAGTGGGCCATAGGGAGCCATTGAAGATTCTTGAGCAGTGGCATGTCAGGATAAAAACCAATTCAAGAATCGTAGAATAGGGGCACCAAGAGGATGTTTTTTAATTTTTTTTTTTTTTTTTTGAGTCAGTGTCTCACTCTGTCACCTAGGCTGGAGGGCAGTGGAATGCTCACAGCTACTGCAGATTCTACCTTCTGGGCAGGTGACCCTTCTGCCTCAGCCTTCCAAGTAACTAGAACTATAGGCATGTGCCACCACGCCTGGCTAATTTTTTTGATTTATTGTAGAGATGAGGTCTTGCCATGTTGTTCAGGCTGGTCTTGAACCCCTGAGTTCAGGCAGTCCTCTTGCCTCCACCTCCCAAAAGAGATGACGATAAGATGAGTCAGAAGCCCCAGGGAACAGTTATTGAGGGCTGAGTCATTTGTGAAAGACAGAATTGGAGAGAAGATAACTTTGGGAAAGAGGAGACCAAGAGTCACCAAGAAGGGGAGAGCAACATAAAGCGGGGGAGGGGAGGTGGTGTCCAGGGGATGGTGCAAGGAGGTCCTCACCCTCCATCGAGCAGCCATTTTTCCTCCTTGTCCCCAGCCTCCCTCCCCATCAGAGAGACAGATGAGGCAGTAGAGCCCAGAGAAGGGGGAGAGGAGCAGCGGAGAAATGCCTGTCCTGTTCCCTGGACATTCAGGCTTGAAAAACTGCAGTTCCCTGGATGCTCTGAGCTGGCCTGTGGGGCAGGACACCGGTCTTCACCCAGCCCTGGCATGGGAAATGCTTTTGTTTCTCAGTTAGGGGTTACGCCAAGCCCAGCGCTGCAAGTGTGTGACATGGAGCCTGCCCAGACTGGGCACTGGATAGCCACTGAAGGGACGAAGCAGGGGTCTACAGACCAGGCAGGTCCCTGGAACCACATGCGGGCTTCATGGTTCCTGCTCTGTCACTTACTGGTTTGCATGACCTTTCGCAAATTACTGAACCCTTCTGAGGCTCAGTTTCCTCAATGTAAAAGGGAAGTAGTAATGTCTCCTCCTGGTCTCATGTAGGCTGGATGCAGCGACATGGACTGTGGCCCTAAGTGCAGTGCCCGGTTCACACTGATGTTCACTGACTACACCCATGGAGAGAGAAGGGCACAAATTTGGAGTGCACATTCCAGCTCCTCTCAGAATCCCCTGGAAAGTTGCTGCATCTCCTATGACTCTCTTCATCCTATGGCCAGAGGAACTGCCCCAAACCTGACTCAGGTTGTAAGCATCTTCCTCATTAAAATATCTCCTGTAGCTCCCAATTGCCAAAGTTACCCCGGCCCAGCAGTTAGGCTTTCCAAGCCCCATCTATCTGCCTTTCCTGCCTTCTCTCATAGCTCAGCCATCGCCTGCCCTGTGCTTCAGCCAAACCCCTCCTCCTGCCCACCCCATCTCTGCCCCTAGGAATGCCATCTTTTTTTTTTTTTTTTGAGTTGGAGTCTCACTTGGTCGCCCAGACTGGAGTGCAGTGACCGCTCCCAGCCACCGCAGCCTCGACCTGCTGGGCTCCGGCGATCCTTCCGCCTCAGCCTTCCGAGTAGCCGGAATTGCAGGCATGCGCCACCATGCCCAGCTGATTTTTTTATTTATTGTAAAGATGAGGTCTCGCTGCCTAGGCAGGTCTCGAACCCGCGGGCTCAGGCAATCCACTCACCTCAGCCTCCCAAGGCGCGGATTACAGGCTGAACCACCGAGCCCGGCTATGAGTGCATATTAACTCAAGGAAAAATGTGGGGAAGGATACACACCTAAATAACAGCAGTTAATTACTTTGGAAGAGTTTTGCCTGGAGGCAGGGAAATGAAGGAACATTATTGGAACAGAGAAGTTTTTGTTTTAGCAGGATTGTTTAAATCAGTAAAAATTTACTGGCTGATTTATTTATTTATTTATTTTTGAGTTGGAGTCTCACTCTGCCGCCCAGACTGGAGTACAGTGGCCGCTCCCGGCCA